AAAGACTATCTGTGAGGTTCCTTAGTCTGCTTATATTGCCGCTGCTATTACAACTACAGTATTCTTGAACTTACCTTGTAATTACCACACCTTTCATAAACGAATGTATTCCTCTATACGTTCTAAAGCTTTAGTAACGCCACCAGTTTCCATATTAAAAGGCTTCAAATGCACAGCTAGCATGTTTATTGTTAATGCAACAATGAGTGAACCCAGACCAAATAAACAGTTCCACACTTCATCTCAAGATCAAAAAGGACACTGAAGAGATTCATAAAATTAAATACACCATCAAAATAAGTTTCTATTCTGTCCATCAAAATCCTTCGCCCCAATGTAAATGATCTAAAAACATTTGGCAATACTGAATAAAGCTCCATCCAGTTTAGGTTAAAAATATTCCTGCTTACCAGTGGTGATGTCATCATCCACTAGGTCATGCTCTTCTTCTTGGACTTTGGCCTCTGGTCCTGAGGCATCAGGAGCAGAGGTGATAGTTTGCATGGCTTCTGCTGTTACTCCGGCTAAAACAAACAGAAATCACATGATTTCGTTAAAAGGTGGGGGGGTAAATGCAGACTAAACCTGTAAAACTTTTTACTTACTAAATGCAAATACATTAAAAATTAAATACAAAACATTCATCAAAATGAAAAGGCACAAGTCAATGCATAAAGCATTCATGTGTGCTATTTATTTACATGCGTTAGTGTACAGGGTATATTTACTTTTAATCAAGTTCTGGGAAAAAAATAAACAAGATGTTGAAGTCAATTACATATTTACCTAATTCCTTTCATTGACGTTTTTGCTAGTTATTCTAACTGTTTTAGACACAATTATGCAATAAAAAGGAAAAAAACCCACCAGAGTTTACTTCTCTTTGATACAGTTTGTTTATGATTTCGGGGTGAGGTAGGAAGGATAATGACAAAAGAGATACTTATGCCCTGAGTCTAAACATGTGAAAATGTATTGCCCAAGAAGAGCATAACATTTTCCTCTGGGAAGGAATTATAGATAAAGTCAGATAACTATCACACAGAAAGAAATTAACTGAAAACACACACGACAAAGACATCATAGGGCCAAAGGCTCCCACTTTGAAAATTACCTGAGACTTGTCAGTTCATACAAATGTCCTTTCCCTACACAACCTTGTATTTCTGATATGTTATATTGTCAATATGCATCTACCACATTATTTCTAATTTGGCAATGGATAGTACCAGTATGTATGAATTTTTTCATGTGGTTATCAACAGGTATTGCTTAATCATGGTATATAAAAATCTCACCACTAAAATTAATTAGTATGAGGGGCCAGGGATTTAGCGCTGCTACCTGTCTTGTAAGCACAAGGTCAGAATTTGATCCCCAGTGCCAAAAAAAAAAACAACCTCAAAATTAATATGAAAAATAGAAAAAATGGAAACAGTCTTTGTAGATAGAGAGGAGAAGAGGGGTTGAAAGGAGGGCAGGGGAATGGGGAAAAAATAAGAACCCAGTTGGATTATGTAAAGGTGTAAATTTCCATTCATGAATGCCATTATACTGTATACCTTAAATGTACCAATACAATTTATTTTTAAAAATTAACTTTAGAAGTTAAATTTTCTAATCAAATCTTAAGAGACACTTTAATGTTTGCCTATACAAGAGTCATTCAAATACTTTAAAAGCAAATATTATAAAAATTCAAAGAATTCTTTTATTCCAAGGTATATTAATTTGCACATTTCTATGTGAAGTTCAACACTGCTATCTTGGGTTTACCAAAGGCATCAAGAGATGAAGAATCCTAGTTATTAATCACCAAGAACGATCCAGAGCTAGCTGACCAACAGGCAGTTCCAAGCTCTAACAATTTTATATGAAGAATACATACAACACATTATTTTAGTATCAACACTTGTTTAGAGAAGCTCTTAACAACAAAATACTAAACAACAATCCTTGATGAATGGTAAATAAGCTGCCTCTTTGCAGAAACATTTTTTACTGTTGGGTTTACAAATCTTTTTAACATGAAAGAGATTTACTAGAAAAGCAGTATTAATTGCTTAATTAAAATATTTATCAGTAAAATAATCACAAAGAAAAGGTAATTTTAAGGTAAATTTCACATTCTAAAGAGAGACAATGTTCAAATAAAAAGTTAAAGATCATTTTTCCATATAATTAAAATATAAACTGAAATGTCTCATCAGTCTCACTCTTTATAATACTTTATAATTTTTAAAATGACAAGAGAAACAGGAAAAGGATATTAAGAAACAGCTTCAAAACTAACAACCATTATTATTAGTACTTTCTTATAAAATTAAGAAAGTCAATGAAAATAAAGTGGGGTCAAGGGATCACTTGTACAAATCCATTTACATTTATCTTATTTAATCTGAGAGGCTAAGGAACTGTTCAACATAACACAGCTATAGTATGAAGATGCAGGTTTTTTTATTTCAGACCCCAATATCCTTTTATCCCCAATTCCTTCCATGACTGAGTTAACTGTGGTAGAAGGGGAGGTAGCACAGAACATGACAGCTTAATCATGGGAAATCATGAAAGCACACAATACTGCGTATAAATACTGTGAGTCCTCCATGGAATTTCTGTACTGTCAAGCAACTATTCAACTGAGGGGATTCAGTAGTTAAGGATACAGCCTAAAGAGCAAATATGTATATTTCAAGTACTGAGTTTGAAAGACAAGAAGCTATGCTGAAACTAGTTCTTTGATAGATGTTTTCCAAAACAAAGGGTTATAAAATTCTTAGCAGAAAAAAAAACAACTACAGACCAATTATTTTCCAAAAAATAGTCTCAAACATCCTTAATCAAATATGAATAAGCAGAATTCAACACTTATAAACAAAATTATATATTATGGTCAACTAGAGTAGAGTTTATTTCAGGGATACAAGTATGGTTCACTGCATTTTATAAAAGACAATCAATGTAATTCAAACTATCAATACACTAAAGAAGAAAATATTACACGATCACATCAATCTTGGACAAAATTTAAAAGTCAGTCTTATTATTTTTATCTTATTGAGTTTATTGGTATTCTTTAAGTATAGAGTAGAGTCACATTTACCATTGGGATCTTGTACCTTTACATGACAGATCTCGGTTCTCATTTTTTCCCAACACCCCTGCCTTCCCTTCAACCCATCCCCTCTAGCCTCCCCTGTTTACAAAGACTTTGCTTCCATTTTTCCCTTTTCTCATATTTTTTCTTGTCCCTTACTTCCTTTCCTCTATTCTTCCCACTTCCCCTACACTTTTAGCCCCTTTCTTCCTATTTCATATTATCAGTTACACAATTTGGATCTTATCTACACTTTTAGTTTTTCACACCAGGGAAACTATTCAGTATTTACACATGTGTCTTATTTCATTTAAGAGTATGGCCTCAATATGCATCCATTTTCCTATGAATGATTCTGGTTTCTCATTCTTTATGTTAAGTAGTATTCTATTTTATAGAAAAAACACATCTTCTTCATCCAGTCTCCAACAGATGGGCAATTGGGCTGTTTCCAGTTTTAGCTATTACAAAGTGTGTGCACATATATAACTGTGGTATGATTCTTTTATTTCTTTTGGAAAGATAGATACCCAGCACAAGGATAGCTAGGTCAAATGGAACCTCTAATCCCAGCTCTTTGAGGTCTCTCCATATTGATTTCCACAGTGGTTGCATCAGTCTGCACTCCCACCAACAATGGAGAAGAGTTCCTTTTTCCCCACAACCCTGCCAACATTTGTTATTGGTTGATTTCTTGATAGCAGCCATTTTTTCTGAGGTAAGGTGGAATCTCAGTGCTGTTTTCATCTGCATCTCTTGAATGACCAGTGATGTGGAACATTTTTTCATATATTTATTTTCTGCTTTTACTTCTTTGTCTGAGAAATGTCTGTTCATTTCAGATGCCCATGTTTGAATTGGGTCTTTACATTTGGGGGGGCCTGATTTTTTCTGAGTTCTTTATATTTTCTAGATAATAGTTCTTTGTCTGAGAAGCAGCTGGTAAAAATTTTTCCCCACATTGTAGGTTGTCTCTTAGCCCTCTTGGTGGTTTCTCAGTAGCACAGGAACTAGAACAAAGAATCAACAACTGGGATCTGATTATATTAAAAAGCTTTTGCACTGCAAAATCATGATTATTTTTAATTCTGGGAAAAACAGGAATAGAGGACAGTTTCCTCAACTTTGATAAAGAGTACATACTAAAAATGTAGGCATAACATTTATGCTTAGAGATAGAAATCTAAATGTTTTCACCTTGTGATTAAAAATAGATAAATATATCCACCTTCACCACTCTTTACAAGTTCCCAATGTACCAAAACAAGAAAATGAAATGAAACATACAAAGTTTGGAAAATACAATGTAAATTGTTCCAATGTGATAATTAATTTTAGGTATCAACATGACTAGATTCGGAGACACAGTACCTAGGCAGCTTGCAGAGGCTTTTGCTTGAATTGAGCCCAGATACTGGCTTCCTTGGGTTTCTGACTTGGAAATGGTCTATGATCAGACTTCTCAGCTTCAGCAATTAAAGAAGTCAACACTATCCATCGTACTGGTTGTACTTCCCTGAAGAACTCTGACCACTGTAAGTGATTAAATGACCACTATAAAATGAGTATTTGCAGGGAAAATCTTAGAGGAATCTTCAAAAGAAAAAACAAATATAAACAGAACCACCAAAACTAATGATTGGCTTGATCAAGGCTACAGAATGCAAGATTTTAAAAAGTAAATAAATTTTATTTCTACATGCCAGTAATGAAAAAATCGACATCTAAATAAAAAAATTTTTAAAAATACAAGGGCTAGGGATTTAGCTCAGTGGTGCTGCCGCCTGCCTCACAAGAACAAGGTCTCAAGTTTGATCCCCAGTACCAAAACAAACAAACAATGACTTTGACACATGAAATATTTAGATGTAAATTTTTTTAAAAATCACACATAGGACTAGTATGATGACTACAAAATTACAAACTACAAAACACTGATGAAGAGTGATATAAAAAATGAAATGGAAGAATATACCATGTTAATTAGAATGTTCCACAGTGAAGATGTTAATGCTCCACAAACTCTGCAGAGCACAGCTGTGGTGGCACATGCCTGTCGTCCTAACACCAAAGAGGCTGAAGCAGGAGTACTGTTGTGAGTTCAAGGCCAGTCTGAACTACAGAGTGAGACTCTGTCTCCAATAAACAAACAATAACATTTCTACAGCAATGTTTGTGGATATACACAGAATCATTTTTAAATTGTATGGAAAAAGAAAATAGAATAAAAGAATTCAGAAAAAAGTCGGTGTACCTGAATCCAAGACTTTGTTATTAAAATATGTGGCTGTGACAGAAAGACAAACATGTAGATTAATATAACAAAATCAAAAGCCCAGAAAGAGAAATATAGAATTTGCTCAACTGACTTTGGATAGCAGTACAAAAGCAATTCAAGGTAGAAAAGATAAGGAACCAAGCTTCACA